CCACCAAGCTCTCATCAGGGGGGATAACCCAGATGATCTTAAGTTGCCTGAATATGCCTTAAAGGATGTGCCCTTCCCCAAGGGGGGTGGAATAGCCTCACCCTCTACACCAGGTCTCAAAAGTCGTTCTGTTTATATAACCGTAGACCGTATCCTTAAGTGGAAAGAGACTCCTGGTTGCAAAGGCTGCACTGGCCATTCACGTGCGCACACTGATGAGTGCAGAGCCCGCTTCTCAATGCTGGTTGAAAAAGAAAAAGAAGCTGAAAGGGAAAAGAAAGCTCCACCTCCTGAAAGTGAAACTGAAGCAGAAGACAAGGACGATGAAGCACATGGCATCATCTTCCGGGGTGAGGAGATCTCTGACCGCATTCCCTCACACCTCTCCGCAGAGGACAAAGAACTTTTCGATGAAATTTTCGTAAGAGGTGAGGTTCCAGGGTCAGCCGAACCCAGTGCTCCGCCTGAGCATGCCGTTCCTGTTTCCGGTGTAGCTATTCTTCCCCAAGTTGCCAATCGATGTTCCGACCTATGTCAAAAATCGCTGCCTGTTTTTGGTTGCCCCGCTGTAGGTAAGCCAAGTAACCGCGATAATCGTAGGAGCCGGAAAGCTGCCAAGAAAGCCTCCAGACCCAATGCCAAGTCAACCATGTTTGAATTTGCTTGTTCTGAGGACTCCCAGATGGGTTTTACTCACCAAGAATATGGCATTAATCATGTTAGACTTTGTAAGGATAGGATAGACCTGGAAGATGAGTCACAATGTGAGCAACTAGACTATCAGATAGATGAAGCCGCTAAGGTTGCACCTCCACATATGTGGGCCTCTATCCCTTGCACATCCGGATCCCCTTGGCAGTACATCAATAGGAAGAAGGGTGGTGCCGCATTCATGAGAAAGCTAGCACGCCAAGTCAAAGAGTCAAAACGGTTGTTTAAGAGTTTTTCCAAACGCGCTGAAAGGGTTCTCAATCATGGTGGTACTGTAACGTTTGAATGGCCAAGACTTTGCTCTGGCTGGAAAAGGCATGACGTTGTAGCATTCTTTGAGAAGCATCCCCAGTTTATGACCGTTGGTTTTGAAGGGTGTACCGTAGGTCTAACCGACGGAAATGGTTATCCCATCAAAAAGCCATGGAAACTCAAGACCACTTCTCCCCGAATTGTAGAGGCGTTTCAAGACATGCGGTGCCGATGCCAGCAACCTCATTCCAGATGTGAGGGAGCTGAGACCACTCGCTCCGCAATGTATCCGCCCCAAATGACTAATCTAATTGCGCAAGCTTTGTATCCCTCAAAATGTGCCCAGCAGTCCGTTCCTGCTATGCCCTGCCGACCGGCAACTAGCGAACCTCAACCCCATAGGGAAATTGAGCAGCACCTTAAGCACGTATCCCCATTAGCTGGTTTTGAAGATTTAGCTATTGCAGTTGAGTCAGACCCCACCGCTAACAGGTTGGTTACAGAACTTCTTGACCATGAACAATTGATCGCGCAAGCCCTCCACCTGGAGGACCCAAAGGCGCCAACGCCTGAGATCAAAGCAATGGTCACCAAGCTCTTATCTCGTGCGGAGATGCTGTCCAACCCCAAGGCCCTTGAGGCAATTCGCGCCGAAGCCGATGGTTTGGTTAAGGCTGGTACCTGGGATCTTGGCTCGGTCCGCGAGAAGGAAGATGTGCGCAAAGAAGCTAAGGCTTCGGGTGTGTCTGTGCACTTTGGTCAACTCATGACCATTGCGTCCATTAAATTCTATGAGCTCGCAGACCACCTTCACAAAATGAAGGGGCGCATTGTGTACAGAGGAGACTGCGCAAAGGACGAGCATGGTGCAGCCGCAGTTTACCAAGAACTCGGCGCGAACCCCACCTCCGTCCAAGGGCTAAACGCCTGCCTGGCGTACGGGTCGCTGCCGGGTAACCGCGCGACGGCTGCAGATGCAGTCAAAGCTTACGTCCAAGCACTGTTATCTTCCAAATACAAAACCTGGATTGAGCTTCCCCCGGAGCTCCGCCCTAAGTATTGGAAACAACAGTTTGTTAAGCCCGTAGTCCTCTTAATTAAAGCCTTATACGGTCATCCTGATGCCGGAGGCCTGTGGGAACAACACCTGAAAGTCATCATCAAGAACCTTGGTGGACAGGAAGTTCTAGAATACCCAGGAAACTTTTACTTTCCAGATACAAAGTTACTTCTGTCAACTTATGTAGACGATTTAACTCTAGCTGGCCCCGCTGACCAGCATGATGCATTCTGGAGTAAGTTAACATCCGTGGTAGACATAGAACCCCCAGAGCCCATCTATAGGATTCTTGGACGCAACCATGTTGTAACCCCACTTCCCAAGACCGAAGGTCATGAAAAATGTGCAGCCTTCCAAGCCCAAACTGGCATGGTTTTTGATATGGCAGACTACGCTCAGCAGACCGTAGATTTGTATAAATCAATAACTGGTGTCACCAAACTCAAGCATGCCGCCACGCCATTTCCACCTGAGGGATCCATCACCATTGAAGATGATGAGACTAAAGGGGAACTAGCTCCAAATGCATGTAAGATTTTGATGAAAACCTTTTGGTTAGGTAGACTTGCACGTCCCGACATCATCAAGCCTATCAATGATCTGGCCACAAAGGTCCAGTCGTGGTCCAGGGGGGATGATAAGAAGGTCCTAAGATTAATCCAGTACATAGCCTCAACCCCACACTATAGGTTGGTAGGTACCATTCAGGACAAGCCTGAAGACCTAGAGCTCAGACTGTTTGTCGATGCCGACTTTGCCGGCGACAGATCAACTGCACGCTCAACCTCTGGTGGCTTTCTGGCTTTAACTGGCCCTAGTTCCTTCTTCCCACTTGCATGGATTAGCAAGCGCCAAACATCCACTTCCAGATCGACCACGGAAAGCGAGGTTGTTAGTTTAGCCCATTCGCTTTATCAAGAAGGCTTGCCTGCCTTGCAGTTATGGGAGCTGTTGCTTGCACGCTCCGTAACCTTAAGGGTCCACGAAGATAACCAAGCAACAATCCTAGTTGTGAAGAAAGGATATAGTCCCAAGCTTCGCCATATAACTAGAACACACAAAGTTAATTTGTCTTGCCTGTCCGAAGTCTTCCGGGATGACTCTGCCGAGATAGAGTACATCCACACCGATGATCAGGCGGCAGACATATTCACCAAGGCATTGCCTCCACATAAATGGGCAGCAGCACTAATCCTTCTAGGAATCCGTACTGACCTCCCATTAGACCTTGAAGCCAAAGCCTAGGTCGCTGTGAACGTCCCGTTCACGCGACAGTAGTTGCTTAGCTCACTGCCAATGCGCAGTATGTGTGGAACAGGCGAGGGGGGAGTTGAAATATATCGACCCCTGAGCCCCACTATGTATAGCATAGGTAGTAGGTCATATGTAGAGCACTGCCGTAGCTATGAGTCCATCCAATTCGAAGTAGCTATTCCCATTAATGTAGAGTAGCACCTCATACTTAGAAGCGTTAAGTATGTAGTGTAGCCATAGATTAGAGGGTAGTACTAGGTCCACCCTAACAACCACCTGGGTGTAATTAGTGTGTACCCGATGTCATGGCTCAAGTGCGCAAAAAGGTGGCGTACTTGTTATTTGTTCTTTCATGCAGGGTCTGGTGAATCGGGTTCCCTTCCTTTTGTGGGTTTCCGTTTCTTCCCCCTGTTTGACTATCTATATATATATATATGCTACTTCCTTGAAGCCTCGCACTTGCCACGTGTACATTTGCCTGCACCATGTTGAGGCCGCGAAAAAGTCAATGCTTGAATTTGTGGAGGCACAGTCAGTTTGATGATTTCAGAGACCTGCAGAGACTTGGATGTGTACCAACTAATATCGTTGGGCCATGTGTTTTTAGTCTTCACCCAGCAACCTTTGCGGTGCCTGAGTTTCTCCAGTATGAGACTCGCATGGTCTACTTTGTCACATTCGGTTGGTTGCATACATCTTTTGATGCCATCTGCAATCTTGTGGGCAGGTGTCTGAAAGGGCATCTTTGGACCCTGGACGCCAGTTGAACTGGAGAAGTTCCAGTTTGAGGTTCGCATAACACAGCGGAAGCCATAGACTCACAAAGGATTCGAACATCGTGGGATTTGCGGATCCAACTTGTCTCACTGATGACTCACTCTAGTGGCTGTTTTTCATACACCAAGCATCACCAAGCAATAGACCATTTCAGGCTAATTAAAGATGTCATGCGAAGAAGAAGAAGAAGAAGAAGAAGAAGAAGAAGAAGGCAGTTGGAACCAAGCATTATTCGTTCCCACAATCTATTGGGTTTCGGCACAGTATTTAATCTCAGAGCTGATTCGTGGAATGATGGACGGCTTTGTTCTCCCGTGTTTGACCCAAAGAATGCTGAAAACTCGTCAGTTGGTTGCTGATGAGTGCTGTTTTTTTTCATGTTGCTTCCAGTTGGATTCCATTTTATATCATGCCTTTTATTTCAAAGTCATCTTTGGGAGTTCGAGCCGTTGTCACTACGATGACAGAGCTCTCCAACCAGCTTTCCATCCGCCAACCCGTGTTGGCCAGAACCTGATGTGATGGTTGAGAGGTGCCTTGCTCTCAACAAAGGAACTGAACGATCAAGAGTCTGAAACTTGTGGTTCTTTGAATCGTTGATACCTCGAAGATTGTCATGGTAAATATGGCCTTCGAACTCATGGTAAATATGGCCTTCGAACTTAGTTTCTCACCCCTTTCGATTCTAATGAATTAAACCTGTAAGCGCATTGATTAACCAGTGATTTGGCCCTTCGGCTCAAGCTTTTGCCAGTGAGATGTTTCCAATTTTTTTCCCCCCAACAGAGTTGAGTTAGATTTGGTACAGAAAAACACATCCAACCGAACTTTGGAGTTGCAGCATACCATCAGCGGAAAATGTCATCTAGTTCAAGATTTCAGGGTGAAACTTGAGCACTGTAGTCCTGCGGCCGCAAGACTGTGTGCCCCAGCTTCGGCGGTGGTCATGTTGTGCACTCGCTTGCTGTCTCCTATAGTCCTTTCAGTCATATCCGAGGGGTTGCCCATCAGCACCTCCTTACTGGAAGCCATCTCCCAAGACCGTCCCAATAGTGCCGTGTTTCCATCGCCACCAGAGCCGCATCACGTTCCACCCTTTCGTACGGAAATTGCTGGCGCGAAGCAGACGAACAAATTCTGGTCCAACTGGGCGGTGGAGGAGTGACTAAAGGCAGTTGATACGCTCTTTTAGTGAAACTGTTTGATGAAATTAAACTAATCATAAGTTATGTTTGTCGTTATCAGTACATGTTTGCTATATATATATATATTATATAGTCATTATATAAGGTTTCGGCTGTAAGTGTGTTTGGAGGGAAGCTTTTCCCCCCCTCCTTCACACAGCACCGTCCTTAGCCGGCTTGCCACGGCCGGCGGGCTGCTTTCGTTGGGCCACTTCGAGCTTCTTCGACTTGCAGCCTTGTGCTCTCACTGCACCGTGCAGGCAGTGATCACCTTTGCTCATTGTGGGTTTCTTTGAGCGTGGCACCGCAATCTCCTTGGCTTTACACTAGCTGCCATTCGCTTGGCCTACTGTATTAGCTGGACTTTGTCATCAAGCTCGGGCTTGCATATTCCGAGTACTATAACATCTTTTTGGATTCCTTTTTGGGCCTGCATCACAGGTTGATTTTTCCCTGCCTTGCTCCCCTTCTTGGATTTCAACAATTTTGTGAATTTTGTCAACAAGCTGTACCGGGAGGAGGCTTGCTTGTGAATGTGGTTGATCTTTGTCCTGTTGGTTTTTACCTTCGCCAACTACGACATTGACTACCAGCTCTCAACGGAGAAGGCAGCGCAGGCAACGTGCTCTTGCGAGAGCTCTCTGGTTCAGACACCGCAGTGGGCTTGCAGTGCTCTACAACCAGCAGTCGCTGAAGGTTGCCAAGATCCTATCGTCCCATCACTCGAAGGACGTGCACCATATCAACAAAATCATGGACATGATGGACAGTTACCCATGGCATTGCAGTTGCGGCCGCCTCAATGGCAAACGCCACACGCACTGCCCCTCTTGCAAGGGGCATTGGAGCGCAGGCGTTCCGCACAGCAACGAGCCGAAGAGCCCACGAACATATCAGGGCACGGCAGACTACAATGCAGGTTGGGACTGGTCAGATACTGGACAGAAGCAGTTCAGAAAAGGCAAAAAGAACCAGAGATGGAGGAGCGAGAGTGCCAAAAGAGGTGGAAAAGGCAAGGGGAAAGGCTACAAGGGACAAGAGGCTGTGATGCCATCGCCCTTTGCGCAACCTGCACCGCCAGCCATTCCCCCTTGGCCCTCACCGGAGACCAGCTCTATGCAGCAGCAGGCTCCAATTGTCCCAGCTGCTCATTCAGCCCACCATGCAGAGCTTCTCTCGGCTGTCAGGAAACATTATCCGGATCTTTCACAAGCACCGGAAGATATTCAAAAGGCAGTCGACAAGTCCGAGAAAGCCACCACCAAGGTTTTGACAACAGATCTGAACAAGGCCTCCAAGCAGGTTGGCAAAGCTGCAAGACAGCTTTCAACAGTCAGAGATGCTCGAGCTCTTCACAGGCAGAATTGGTTGAAGCATCTTCGCGACTCAGTAGCGAGCTGGCAGAAGCAGTTGCAACTGTTCAAGGACCAGCAGAAAGAGTACGCAGATCAGCTCGCCAAAGCGCAGCAGGAGCTCAATTCGGCTCGACGCCACCTTCAGCACCTGAACAAGCAGGCAGCCGAGATTGGTGCACCAACGTCGACAGAAGCAGGCGAGACTGTGGCCAACCATGTGGAGCAGGACAGCTGCCCCAATTTCGAAGCGGAAGCTCAGGCACTTGTCCAGCAAGTACAAGAAAGCCTTCAAGAGAGCATTGCCGCTGTGTCTGCCGACAAAGCAGTAGACCTCATGTCGGAAGAAGAGGAGGACGAAACAGATCGGAAGAACAAACGCCCGCGATCCATGGAACCATTCGGAGGTGGACAGCAGCATGGATTTGGTGGGCCAACGTCATCACCCAAGCAGTGACGCTTGGCAGTGGAGATCTGTGTCTGAGTTTTCGGAACGAACTTCACCGTGCCAGGAAACATCCAGAAGGCGACTGTGGAGGCTGATGCCTATTGCCACGATCATCGTTGTGATGCAGCATGCCACCCAGACCTTCGAATCCTCATACGCTGCCATAGTATTCACTGGGATCCCAATTTCATTTCGGAACCTACTGCATTGGGAAGGGCCACATTGTTGAGAAACGAAGTTTTGTCCTTTGTGAACCCTGCAGCCACCACGCGATCCCTTCAGTACACAAATTCTGGACTCAAATCATGCCTCAAGAGTAGCAATTGGATGCAACAGAAACCTCGAGTTACTTTTCTTCCATTTTGCGAAGTTATTGATCAGTATTATCCACCTCTACTTCAACCACATGATGATGAAGGGCTACATGATGCCAAGGAGCCTGCTTTCAATGATGAAGGTTTCGATGATTCTTCTCTCATGGCAAGGGTCCCACGTTTGGTATCGCCCCAGAGTGACAGTTCAGCTGCAGACTCTGATTTTGATGAGCATGTCCCTACGTCTCCATCATCCTTTCCTGAGCACCATGCATGGCAGTCGGCTCATGTCTACGACCTTAAGTCGAACTATGGTCATGGCAGAGTCCACACCAATCCTCCTGAAGCCACGTTCACGGACATCAGAAGACTCCTGGGATATCGTTTTCACGATGTTGCTAACATCTATGATATCAACCCAGCACCAGCTGATCTTCGAGCAGCCAACGTGGCACCTTTTCTACTGCTTGCTCATGATGATGTCAGATTTGGAGACAACAGGCGTGCAATTTTGGTTGATGTTGAACTTCATGGACCCAACTGGGACTCGATCATCGAAATCGACAGGTACACCACCATGATTCCAACACCAATACATAGATCATTGATGTTGAAGATTGCAGGAGTTCTTCGATACTGCACTACCATGAAAAATAAATGTCTTCTCTGGCACAGAGGAACCCTCATTCCTGCCAAGAGCAACAGCAACATTGACCTCCATCATGGAGATTATGTGCGTATCGCTTTGCCGCCATTTCAACATGAACAGGTGCCTACGTACTATGCTGTTCGAGCCTGCCAACATGGATTGACACCTCGACAGATAGTTCACCGCTACAACCGGCAGCCTGACCCTGATGAGCTCTTCACTGATGTTGAAGCAGCACAACAACCTGCAGCACATGATGAACATGCCCTCTTGCAACGCAGCTGTACTACCTTGCATTGGCCTCCGATTTTGCAAGGTAGATCATTATGGCATGCGCAGCCAGACAAGACATTTCACAATTTTGAAGAATGTCAAGCACCAGAGATTGAGGTTTCACGACATGATCGAGCGCCGCAACAACGCCATGCAAACCATGATGTAGGTACTACACCAACATGGAGAACTTCCCTTGAGCATGAGTTTACTGCCAGAGCCGAAGTTGCCAATGAAGAGGAAGGCCCTATTGCCTTTGTCACGACATGGTACCTCCAAGGACCACTTGAGCAACTCTCTGAGGAAAGTAGACCCTTGCGTCTGGATCAGTTCACAAGGCATTGGAGGCGAGATCTTGAAGAACTTTGGCAGGATCGAATTCTCAGAACTGTGCCTTTGCATATTGTACATGTGCAACCTGAACCTCCTCAACATGACTTGAGCTGGACTATTGGGCACGTGATTCTTTATCAGAGTTTTTATCCTCCATTGGTACCGTTCTTGATCTCGATCAACTTCCTTACTGATCGCCACACTGGCATCAACTATGCTGCGGCTGCCTTGAATACGCCCACAACTGCGCTTTATGTTCAAGGCCAATGTCACCTCACTGGATGTTGCACTGATCGTATTTGTGAACTCCAAATCGGCCAACGTTTCTATAGAGATCGTGAGCCTGTCCATCTGCGTGAAGGAGCAAGTGCCATTTTCAATGTGCACCCTCCAGTTCAGACTCACCATGCAGGAGACGAGCAACAAGTCAGCCCTCAATGGCTTACTGTTAGTACGCAAGCAGAACAACCTATACTTGCTGCTGCGCCGCTCCTGGCTGATCAGACTGACTTCACTGTCGACCTCTTTGAGCATTGGGACATCCATGCCAGAATTGGTCCTGGACATGCTGAACGTCTACTTCAAGTTACGACATGGTGTTTGCACTCTGATCGTCTTCGAATGAATGATGAATCCAGGCAAGTCATTCTTGGTGATGATTTCCATGCATGGGAAGCACATCTCAGACGACGATGGCAAGATCTTCTCGATCCATTGGCAAACACAGACTTTGCCATTGTATGGCATGCACCTGAAAGTGAGTTTGACATCTCACGCATCCACATCATCGTGCATCAACAACTACAAATTGGTGAAAGAGCGAATATCGTAACCATCTATGATGACACGGTACCAGGTATGGGACCATATGCCACAGCTGCGATATTGCCCAGTCTCGTGAGCCAAACTGCTCTTCTCACGGCAGTCCACAGGCAAAATGCTTGCCCACCAAGGAAGCCTCATACTTTTTGCACTACATGGCAAAGAGGATGGCAATTTGATGACACACGGCCTTATCAATGCCAACATGGTCAAGCGCTCATCATCAATTGGAGAGCACCAATTGACTGGGGATGGGATCAGGATGAATCACAAGATGCAGATGCAGCATCTAGCTTGCTGCAAGTTCACACCCGCAAACAGCAGCAACGGACTGACAGGTGCCTAACAGCTGGGCAGGTAGCTCATACCCAGCGACCTGGACAAGTCCTTCAGCTTGCTAGCTGCATCGATCTGCCCTCAACAGTAAGTGTCGATTGTTCCCCAGCACTACATCTTGCTGATGAGTTGCGCAGCACAGATCATCTTTTTGGTCAACCTTGGCCTGAGGGCCTTGAACTTCCAGCAGTCACTGTTGATGCCTTCAATGAATTGACTGCATCACCTACCTCCATCCCGACTGGGTTCCATTTCTTTACTGATGGCTCCAAATCCAAAAATGGGCACATTGGATCTGGTGTTGTCATGCTCATTGAATGCGAGCAAGAATGGCAATATGGAGGCTGCCTCTACAAGACAATCACCACCGAAGCCACTTCCATCTATGGCGAACATGGAGCCATCATTTGGGCTTTGCTTTGGGCACAAAATCTCAGCCAGAAACACT